GTCGGCGCGGGGTGGCGAGGCGGCTGCCCCTGCGGCGCCGACGGTGCGTTGGGAGAGGGGTGAGGGAACCGCCTCACTACGGCGGCGTCAGAAAGGATGAGATACCTGTGAGGAAACAGAAACAGGACATGAAGGCCAAAAACCATCAGACGCTGATGGACGAGAGCACTGCCGGGAGCGAGGCCGCTTCAGGGCTGCTGCCTGTGCACAGGGGTCGCGCGGCCCGGGGGTCCCGCTGAGGGCCCCCCTGAAGAGACCCTGTAGGGACACAGAGCGTGGCTGCACCGGGGGACCCCGAGCCACCCCAGCGGAGCCCCACACAGCGTTTCCTGCAGGACAGATGTGAGGCTGAAAATGTTAAATCCCCAAATGCCGGCTCGGACGTCTCGTTCCCCACTGGGACAAGTTAAGGCCCAGGATGGACTCGGGGCAAAACCAGAGCCGAGGGGTGCGGCCTGCCGCGGGAAGCTGGGGTCCGCGCGCGGCCGCGTGGTACCTGCACGCTGCTGGCCCGCCCGGGCGGCCTCCCGTTCCCTCTGCTGCTGCAAGGACCACTCTCTGTTCTGCTCCTCCTGGAGTCTCTTCCGCTCGGGGAAGTTCAAATCCTCTCCCATGAACTTCTGCATCCCCGAGACTGTATTCCGGACGTCGTTATCTGACTGCCGGGCTGGAAGATCTTTCTTAAGGGCGAGGGGGTCGGACAGGTCAAACTCGCGGCGCGTCTCTGGCCGCTGGAAGGCCTGCTGGAAGGCCTGGACGGCCCTGCAGCGGGCTCTCCTGTCGCTCCTCGCCCGGGCCTCCAGTACGCTCATGGTTTTGTCATTTTGTCTCATCTCAGCAGCTGCAAGAGACGGAGCCGTAAGCTCAAGATTCAGAGACAAAAATAAATTTGACCCACTTACAAGGAAAAAAAAAACCCTCCCAACCAACTATTGCCAAATCATCATAAAGAAATCTGAACAATCAATAAACTTGTGAAAAGGTGATCCACCCAGACAGAAAGGCCCAGGACTTAACAGATTATTTCAAACGCTAATAACAGGATGTATTTATTCGTAAGGGTGTGGGGCAAGAGTCATCACTCAACTTGCCGATAGCCCCCAAAACTGTTCCCTGCACACCCACCCCCAGGGTCCCCACTCCGCCTCCGGTGAATCCTCTCTCTCCCCTCCCCACACCTCTGGCCCACACCCCAGCTCTTCTATGAAAAATTAAATTAAAAATCTTTTTAAAAAAAAGTTGAAATGAGTATTCTATATGCTGAGTGATTTTAAAAATACAATGTCGCGGGCCCTCCCTGGTGGCTCAGCCGGCTAGGAGGCAGCACTGCAGGCTGCCGCAGCCGCTTCAGTGCGGGCTCCATCCCGGCCATGGAGTGACCCACAGGGCGCGGCAGACCTCTCCTGGCCCGCCCGCTGCGCCCCTCAGCAGTGGGCTGCATCGATCTGCCTGTTCACCCCACTCTGTCTCTGGTGAGTCCTCTCACCGCCCCTGCACCTCTGACCTGCACCCCAGTTCTGTACGCATAAATAAATAAGTCTTTTTTTAAAATACGTTGAGTAAAAAATGCAAGAAGGATCAGTTTCATGACACCAATATGAAAAATTTTAGGACCTACAAAAATCAGTGTTACAGCTTCTCAGAGACAGGCGTGGGCAACACAGTGTAGAGACAGCCACAGGCTGTGGGCACGCTGGCGCCCGCCAGCTGAAATCTGGCCATTTGCAACACTAGGGATGGACCGTGAAGGGTGATGCCAGGTGGAATACGCCACCTGCAGAAAGACAAACACCATGACCTTGCGCCTGGGCGACATCGGAGAAAAAGCAAATGAACAAGTGTGCGTTCTCAGCTACGGAGGACAGGCCAGAGGTGCCGGGCGCAGTGCAGGGAGACCAGACTGCAGGCAGGCCCTGTGTGAGCTAGAAAGCAGGGCGGCCCCTCGGCACTGCACGTCTCGGAGAAGGGGGAGGAGTGAGTGGTGACGTGCAAAAGAACTTTCTCAGCACCGCCCTTACAGTAAGACAGGTGAAGCCGACCTGGTGCGCGTGGGCGCCTAACCCTGCCGCAGGGGCAACTGTGTGTCACACAGTTCTGGCTTTTTTTTTTTTAAGATTTATTTATTTTATGCACACAGAACTGGGGTCCAGGCCAGAGGTGCTGGGGCAGCGAGAGGATCCCCAGAGACAGAGCGGGGAGCAGAACAGGCATTTGGATGAAGTCCACTGCTGAGGGGGCAGTGGACGGGCCAGGAGGGGTCTGCCGCGACCTGTGGGTCACCCCTGGGGCAGGGATCGAACTCACACTCAGATGGCTTTAGCTTCTCAGTGCTCTGCTTTAACCCGCTGCACCACCAGGGAGGGCCAGGTTTTTTTATATAATTATTTTCAACTAAAAAAAAAATAATAAACTGAAAAGGTAAAGTGATTAGAAATGAGAGAGGAGCACGGAGACTGAGCTTCGCTCATAATTCCCCCACCCCACATTTTCACATATTGTCTTTCCACGTTGAATGTTATTTTTTAACTTAATTCATGATCCATGGTTTATACCACTTAGTACCCAGCTTTTTGTCAATTTTAAATATCCTTCTGATGCTTAAAAAAAAAATAAGCTGGGCCTGCTGGACATACGCGGGGAGGTGAACTCTCTGAGAGCGCCCGAGCGAGGACGGCCCCCTAAACCATGTGGGACTGAGTCAGCACGGGTGGTCTGGGCCTGGGCCAGGTGTGAGACCTGCCTGTGCCTGGGGGTTTGGGACTTCCAGGCCGTCAGTGTGCGTGTGTTTGAGGTTTCTCACACACAGGTTGTTACAGCAACAGAAAAAGCTTACATTTATCCTTAAAAGATTTCCTACAGCCCACTTAGAATTCAATGGCTGTTTTCTTTTAAGAGAAGACGCTGTACATCAACTCAATCGAGCAAGAATAACTATGAACTCTTGAAAGGAGGCAGACCGTGGGGACAGACTTTTACGTGTGAGAAGAAATGAGGGCTGAACTCCAAGTCCCCACAGTCCTCAGCTAAAGAGGCCTCCCTAAGCACCGGACAGCTGCTCACCAAAGGCCTCGTGTCTGGCTCTTTCGGTCGCGTCTCTTATCTTCTGGTCACGGACCTGAGCATCCCAGGCTGCGGTGTCTCCCTGGGAGCGGGAGACAGAGCGGGCAGCAAGAGTCAGACCGTTTTATCCGTGTTAACAACCGTGCTTATCTATTTCAGCCTTGCCCTGCTGCTGAGTGGCCTGAGGCCCGTGTCAGGCCTTGCCGCCCTCGGCTGCCCTTGTCGCCAGTGGGTCCTCTGGCCTGTCCTAACTTCCCCCAGGGCCTCCCTCCCATTCTGTTACCTGGCAGATGCTCACAGCACAACATTGCTCAGACCCTCCCAATCGCTCCCTGAGGGCACCCCCAGCCCCAGCCGCAAGCTGCCTCTCCTGAGTGAGCCCCAACTCCTCCAGCCGGGGTCCTGCCTCACTGCTCATGCCCGGCCGCCCTACGTCCCATCCGCCATGGGAGCACGGTGGCCCTGCCCCGGGAATGGTCAGTCACAGAGTGTCCGGTGTAGGGTCCCCAATTTGGCGCGTTTCGCCCGCCCGCAGGCAAGTTCCCTCCGCGGGCCTCTGGGGTCGGTTTGCCTGGCACGAGAGGTGCGGTGCGGTCTGGTCCACACGCGGGGACAGCCCGCAGCTCCTCCTCCCTGCCGCAGGCCTCAGCGGCGGCAGCGCTCCGGGTCCAGTGGCTCCCCAGAGCCGGCTCCTGCCCTCCCGCCCCCCACCCGCACCGTGGCATCCCCTGAGCCCGCTCCCCCGCTCCCGACCACCGCGCAGGGTGTCACCCCGCACCCCGATGATCCTGTTCCTGGCGTTGAAGATGCGTTTCTGCCTGCACAGCTCCGCGTGTCTCCTCTTGGCCTGGTTGAAGTCCTGCTGCAGGTCCTCGGGCTGCGCCACCGCCATGACCGGGCTCGCAGAGCTGCCAAGGGCTTCAACACACTTGAGAGGAAGAGACAAGACCAGCAAGGAGCGAAAGCGCGGGGCAGGGAGCCTCTCTGCGGGTCGCTGTCAGGGCTGGGTTTCCTCGGAGATGTAAACAACTCCGGTTGCTAAGGAACCGGCGCGGGTGGGGCTGGGAGAGCCGCCTGCCCTCCTCTCGCGAGACTTCCATGCCTTCCCGCGCTTTTCCCGCCAGCGTGAGGCGCGGTGAGGCGCGGGCGCGCAGCCATGGGCCACCTGGAGGTGCTGCTCGTGGAGAACTTCAAGTCGTGGCGGGGCCGCCAGGTCATCGGCCCCTTCAGGCGCTTCACCTGCATCATCGGCCCCAACGGCTCCGGTAACTGCGAGCGGCGCCTCCCTGCGCCCAGCCGCCCGGCCTCGATGTCCTGAGGGGCCC